TGGAACATGAGACACAGAACGTTCTGAACAACCTACGAGCTGTCAACAATGAGACACGAGGTGACCACGAAGCGGCAGATGCGTCGCACAAGAACACGAGATAAAACTACGACATCGAGACAAAATAAGACAAACGAGACACGAAGCTGTTTTCTTCTTCGTTTGTTTTTTACAAAGCGAGCAGTGTGAGGTTGTGGCTCCTGAACTCCAACCACCAAGTCATCTCAGTTCGCTGTCGGACAAATTCTGACCCGAGTTTGTGACAGAACTTGTGCTGAGCTCCGGTGTGTTCCAGGTGGAGGGGGTGGAGGAGATCCGCGTTCGCTGTCAGAGCATCGTGTCGGCGACCGAGTCCAAGAGCTACGACATCCTGGACCACCGCAGGCCCGAGGTGATTCACAGAGCTGAGCCCACAGCTAGCAGCACCGAGCATCCTGGTGGGGCTCGACCTCCCTCCAGGAGCTTTACAGTTCAGGTTCAACACTTGCTTTAAGGTCCAGGTGGTTGTGGAGGTTCGGTACGGTTGGATCAGGTCTCTCAAGAATGTCGGTGAATGACTGACAGCAGGTCAGGACCCAGTTCAGAGGTCAGAACCTCCTGAACAGCGAGTGGTTAAGTGTTTTTTTCCTTTAAAAAAAAAATTAAGGTCCATTAAATGACTTTTCATTGATTTTTTAAATAAAAAAATCTTTTACTTTGTAAGTAAATGAAGTCAGTGCGACGTCTGTGTTACTCTTTAGTTTTTAGTGGGGCCACATCAATGTTTTATTATGAGTTAGATTTTTACTTTTTTAACTTTTACATTTTTAAAATTAGTTTAAATCAGTGTCATGTTCGTTTTTGTTAGACGAAAAAAAATGCAATTAAAACGAATACAATGTTAAATTAAATATTTTCATTTTAAAACATTATTATTTTATCAAAGGTCGCAAATCAACACGTTAAAGAAATGTTCCTACACGACAATAATGGCTTAAAGGTGGCCTAAAGATTGTAAGTCTGTCTGTGTGTGTGTGTGTGTGTGTGTGTGTGTGTGTGTGTGTGTGTGTCTGTGTGTGTGTGTGTGTGTGTGTGTGTCAGTTTGACAGTGACTTTGCAGACTTCCGGTTCCAGGTCCAGACGGTGTTTCAGTCTCTTCAGTCTCTGCTGGAGTTCTGGTTCAGCCGGTGTGTCACTGTGAGTTCACTCAGTCGGACTGAACCAGCCGATGGATCCTCGTGTCGTCTGAGCGCTGAGCAGTGTTTGTGTTTCAGCTGGAGGAGGCGCTGCAGCAGCTGGTGGCGCTCGAGTCCGGTCCGGTGGCCCATCTGGACCTGCAGCGCTTCTACCTGCTGCTGCTGCAGCGCTACAGCGGAGAGCTGGAGCTGCTGAGGAGAACCTACCAGAGGGATCGAGACGGACCTCCCACCGGACGCAACCTGCCACCGGTACCTACACTGACCCACACTGACCCACGCTGACCCACGCTGACCCACGCTGACCCACGCTGACCCACACTGACCCACGCTGACCCACGCTGACCCACGCTGACCCACGCTGATCCACGCTGACCCACACTGACCCACACTGACCCACGCTGACCCACACTGACCCACACTGACCCACACTGACCCACACTGACCCACACTGACCGAAAAAACAAGACACAAAACTACAAAAAGAAATAAAAACCCACAAAAACCCAAAACAGGGACTATAGGTGTCTCGGTGGTTAGCATCGTGACCTCACAGCTAGAAGGTCGCCGGTTGGCGTCCCGGTGAGGACACCCGGGATCTTCCTGCGTGGAGTCTCCATGTTCTCCCCGTGCAGCGTGGGTTCTCTCCGGGTTCTCCGGCTTCCTCCCACAGTCCACAAACATGCTGAGGTTAATTGGTGATTGTAAATTGTCCGTAGGTGTGAATGTGAGTGTGCTTGGTTGTCTGTCTCTAAGTGTAGCCCTGTGATAGACTGGTTACCTGTCCAGGTGAACCTGCCTTCACCCTGAGTCAGCTGGGATAGGCTCCGCCCCCCATAGTGAGGATGAAGGTTTAGAGATGATGGATGGATGGATCCGAAACTGACTCTAAGATGACTCAAAACGACAGAATTGAGACACAAAAGAACGACAATGAGTCCACAGTGGGGCAGAATGAGTCCACAGTGGGGTAGAATGAGTCCACAGTGGGGCAGAGTGAGTCCACAGTGGGGTAGAATGAGTCCACATTTGCTGTTTCACTGAACCGACAGTCCAGTTGTGTCCCTCTCAGGTGGCCGGCAGGATCCTGTGGTGTCGTCAGCTCTTCAGGAGGCTGGAAGCTCCCATGCTGGTCCTGAAGAAGAAGCTGGACGTCCTCCAGGTCGGGTATTATGGTTTCTCTCCTCAGTGTTGTGAGTGTCGGTGCTGGATGTGACCTCAGTGACCGGCTGTCTGCCTCTGCAGGGACCGCAGGCGACCCAGCTGATCCGCAGCTACAACAGGACGGCCGTGGTGCTGCTGCAGTATGAGGCGCTGCACCTGCAGGGCTGGAGGCAGGCTGCAGAGGGCGCCCCGTATCGCCTCAGCGCCGCCCTGCTGGTCCGGCACGAAAACAGCAAGGTGTCCTACCGTTGGATCAGACAGTGAACTCACCACTCTGATGTTTACTTTTATTGTCGGTCTTGGTGTGTTTGCAGGCCCTCTACGTGAACCTGGACCCTGTGGTTCTGGAGGTGCTGCAGGAGGCCCGGTGGATGACCAGGCTGGGTGTGACGGTGCCACCGGTCATCCTCAAAATGGCCTCCAGAGAGGTGGCGCTCAAAGCTCTGCACAGCCGGTGAGAGCAGCTGCTGGTTCTGTGGGTTCTGCAGGATGAAGTGTGTTCTTGTCTGCTCATCAGATGAAATGTTCTTTGTTCAGACATCATGATGGCAGAGATGGTCAGGTGGGGGACCGCTCTCCTGCTGGACTGTCTGGGACCTGGGGTCCGGTTCACAAAGCAGGTTCAGTGAAAACTCTGAGCCTGTTGAACCTGAAACCTGAGGCTGTGAAACGGACCCCACGTGTAACGTTGTGTCAGTGTTGTGTTCAGGCCAGCTGACAGCCTTCACCGGGCCCGGGACAAGATGATATTAGAAAAAACCCGTGTTTTGTCAGGATTTTAATCACAGCTAATGGATATTAAGAGCTAGACAGATAACGTTACAAGGTGACAAACACTTCTTACCTCGCTCTACGGTGACTTTACTAGTTCCAGCTTCGTGTCACCACCTTTTTTAAAGTATGTTTTAAGCAAATCTCTAAGGCCTCTATTTTCTTCCTCTCTTTTTCTCTTCTTTTTCCTTTTCTGAGCACCAGACTTCTGCTGAGCGGACATTTTGGTGCTGAAGTGCAAAATCTGAACTTCCAACAAAAGGACATCAAATGTTGATCAGGGGCCAAACCATTTAATGTTGGAGGTGGGGGTGGAGGGCAACTCCAAAGATATGAAGGACAGTTCAGACAAAAAATAATTAAAACTTCTGACTCAAATATTGCACTGTTTATTTCCATTAATAGCCCTTCTTTGGGGAAAAAAATCCATAATTCAATGAGGGTCCAGTTCTGGGCCCCCCCGCCACTCTGGGCCCGGGATAACAGACCCGTTTGTCCCCCCGCTATCGGCGGGCGTGGTTGTGTTGATGTTCTGTTAAAGTTCTGTTAATGTTTTGTTAATGTTCTGTTAGTGGTGTGTTGCCGTTGTGCTGACGTTGTGCTGATGTTGTGTTGACGTTGTGCTGACGTTGTGTTGGCGTTGTGCTGACGTTGTGTTGACGTTGTGCTGATGTTGTGCTGACGTTGTGTTGGCGTTGTGTTGGCGTTGTGCTGACGTTGTGCTGACGTTGTATTGACGTTGTG